CTGCAATTCCAGAAAATGGGGATGATCCTCTAATCCGGCGGATGGTAATGTCAAAACTTGGGCGACCGTAAGCTATCCCGTATTCATCCCATCCACTCTTTACAGCCACGAGATCATCTCCAGTGGATATGTAGGAGTCCTCTATGCAGACATTAGAGCTTGAATCTGCACAAACGAATACAAAGATAGATATCATGAACATAAAGGCTTCGCACTCTATATCGAGGAAAATAGACAATTTGTGATTTCTTCAACTAATCCTGACTTTATCTATACAATTTTGTAGATAATTCCAATTGAGAAGTAATGGCGCGCTCAGTGAACAAGATGCGGCTTATTTAGAAAATTTATAGATAATTCCAATCTAGCAGCAGGTAACTTTCTTTCTCAGTGAACAAGATGTGGCCTATTTAGAAACTTCCCATCTACCTGGATCTACTCCATCGGTGTTGGGAGAGTCAGATGGAGCCAATATTGTGACATACCGGACAACAACGTTGCTGCAGAGAAGAAAGAACGTATCAGTCTAAAATTACAGCTCAATAATTCTACAATATTCCTTGCAGAAGGTGCATTCTTAACCCAAGTGCCTCCTGATAGAATAGAATAATGTTTATTATAATTTTCTTTTCCATTTAACTTTTCTGTATCCAACTTGGAATCGTACCATAGAATCAATTTGATCTACCAAAGTAGATTCCCTAACGGCCGGTTACCTGTACAGTCGAACACAACACCTAGTACATGTATAATAATAGCTTCAAGAGTATATACACGAAACGAATTAAGATGATATATATCAGTTTTAGGCCAGTAGATTTGATCTAAGTTCAGCTTATAATTTCAATATATTGGAAAAGTCATGGAAAATTCATGAAGCATTTAACAGTAATACATACAAAATTTCCTACCTAATCCTAATTAGATAGCATTCAACTTCAGGTTGAACTGGTTATACAATTTACCAAGTTACCAACCCTCTACAAAAATATAGTTCTCTTCAGCTACTGACAGAAGTTTGGAATCTATTAGTGAAGTGAGTTAAGCATTAGAACGTTAACATGGTAAGTGGCAACCATCCTTTGTACTATCCCTCAATTAACATTTCTGATTGACTTGGACAATGCGTATGGACCCGTCAATGCCCTTCTTTATCGCAAACTTATAACTTGATTCCAAGTTTCTTCAGACTAATTCCATTACCCTTTTATTATCACACATATGGAAAAAGTCCTTAATTAATTAAACATTCTTAATTCATGTGGAGCTGGAGCCCTAAGCTGACAAGCTATCCGAAATAAAAACAAACGTACAAAAAAGGGAGAGTTTGGCTGTTACCTGCAATACACAGGGTGAATGTTCCAAAAGGGAGAGTTCTGGAAAATCACATTGGAAATGATAATGTTTTTCGAGTTCATGAATTCAATGAGATTTGGTCTAGTATACTGAAGAGTTCTTTGCCTCCACATGTTCCACCATACATCCCCTTGGCCATCAATGGTTCCGTTCTCACCTGAAAAGGAACAATTTATTAGATATAAGGTATCTATACAACAAAAAACAGAAGCTATGCCAACTTATATACCTTGATAACCACATCAAATATCGTTGAAACATACCAGTGATAACCACATCATGAACTCCATCTCCATGGATAAAGCTTATATACCTTCCTCCAGGGAGCTCCCTCCCTCTTCCATAAGATGGCAAAGGAGCAATCAGCGGCCAATTCCTAGTGTCCTGAAGCATTAACACATGAAGAGAGTTAGAAGGAGCGGAACATCACATGAAACAATGGCAATCAAATATATCAACATTCACAAAAAGTGTTTAATTTTATCACAGAAAAAGGAGGATTTTTTTTTTTTTTCTGATTATACAAGGATATAAAAGTGAAAATACAGAAGTGAACCATACTGCCGGAATCAGGATTTGCAATTTTGCAACATTAATATTTAGAACAATGCTGCTGGAATCAGCAAAAAACAAAAGTGAAAATTTTGAAAATGATGTAGGGGTGTGCTATCCACACACCCCTCTTTACCTCTCACACACCCCTTATTAATTTATGTCCGTTGATCTTTTTCAATTCATCCGATCTGACGGCTGAAAACTAAAAAGGTGTGGGAAAAGTAAAAAAGGGTGTGTGGATGGATATCACACCCCAATGATGTATTGATGATTTACCTCACAAAATGCAGAAACAATAGTGGAAACTGATCTCATTTGGAAAAACTTTCGGTATGAGAGTTAAAATTATTGCACTTCTAATCCCAATAAGGACAACAAACGAAACTAATGATTTGTTTGCTGTGTCATCATTTAAAATTGTAAATTTACAAAGACCGAATTTTCTATCCATAAAGAAGGAGAATAAATGTAAAGATGCTTATGAGAAAAGCAACCACTAGATTTACTGCTAGCACAATTACACCATTATGCTAAAGCATTTGAACATGCCAGTTAACTCCAAGTCCAAGTTAAAAAAGAACTGACCGAGCAAGTGTGGCGCACTTTGTCCCGGTGATTAGGGTGGCACATTCTTTTCCCACATTAAACAAGAAATCATACCAAACTCCAGGACAGGTTTCCCTTTCATGACAGTTAAAATATAAAGGGCCAACTACATTTTCCACCCTTCAAGTTTGAGGTGATTTTCAAAATGGGTCATGAGGTTTCAACTTTCTCACATTGTACCCTAAGGTTTTGACTTTTGACATTGTATCAACTGACACCTTTTGTCTCTTTGGATGTCTAATTTTTTTTTTTTTTTTTTGGTTAATGTGGTGCAAATGTGGCTTACAAAGTAGGGTCTCAAGCTCACCATGTCATCAATTAATTGACATACAATCAATCAGAAAGAAGGCACAACCTGATACAATTTCAACACCTTGGGGTGCAATATGAGAAAATTAAAACTTTAAGGCCAATTTTAAAAATAACCCCAAACCTAGAGGGTGTAAAATGTAGTTGACTCAAAATTAAACTTAGCAATTTAATGGTGATTTGGCTTATGGCTTATGGCTTTAAACATAGAATAGACTGTTTAATTAATAGAAGACATAACTTTAGAGGAATGGCTTCAATAATAACATAATAACAAACCTAGTTTTGAGTTTTTCTAAATAAAAAATAGTATCCTAATCCAAGCCATTCTTATCTGTGTAGGATCAGCAATATACTAATCTCTATATTGGGGTAGATTCAAAGACGACAAAAACCAGTGGCAAACCCATCTAGCTGTCCAGCAATCTGATTTCATCAATCCTATAAATGTTATGCACATGCAGACATGCTGCTATAGGCCCACCTTGTCTTCCTACTTTAATCCTGGTTCCACCACAAAGCCTCAAGGACTCCATACACAGGCATTCTTGCTAAGCCACACAAACCCAACACAAATGGGATTTTAAACACAAACCCTAAATCACCAAGAAACACAAAGTAGCATCTTGCACAACCTGAAATAACCCACTTATTTGCGGGACCCCACACTCTCGAGAATGACTTACATGGGACGGGTTCACTACCACCATAATGTCTCGTTACAATGAAACAATGTCATGTGTAAGTTTCTCAATAATGTGGCATTGAATTACTGGATCAGGATGCCACATGGCAATGAACCCATCCCATGTAAGATAGCGCTCTCCAATTGGGTGGGATTCATTCCAATGAAACAATGTCATGAGTAAGTTTCTCAATAAATGGTAATGGTGTTGCATTATTGGATGACGATGCCATGTGGCAGTAAACTTGCTTAATGTAAGTTAAAGCCCACCCTCTCGCGTTGAGTAGGATCCGTGTGAGCGCAAGTGAGACTAAAATACAGGGTTTCATGTTTTCTTGAGAAACTGACTGAGAATGACCCCGTCGGTCACCCCTACCAGGTTTATCTCCTCATCACATTAACTCTTTCGATAAAAATAGACATCCCACTAAAACTTAAGCAAAAAAAAAATGTAGATCAAAACTAAAATTGGGTCCTAAAATTAATCACTAGCATAGTAAAAATATCAAATTACAGAACAAAATTCAGATGAACTTACTGAATTGGTGATAAACAAGCACGCTGGATTTTTACCTGGGTGGCTCTGATGACAGCACCTTTAGCCAAATAAAGAGTCATGTGGCTAGTGAGGTTGAAGCTCTCTGTTAAGTAGACCCCAGGAGGTATGTAAAGAAGCGTACCACCTCTCCTCTTCAAATGCTGAATCCGATAAATCGCCTCCCGAAACGCCTTGGTGTTCAGCGTAACGCCGTCGCCAACGCCACCAAAATCCGCTATCGAAATCTTGTCGTTCCGGTAACTCATGGGCACTATCCCGGAGCAAGTCACCGGGTCCGCCGCCGAGAGCGAGAAGTAGCTGAGGCAGATGAGGAGTGAAAGGGAAAGCCAGAGAGAACCCATTTCTCGTAGTTTCGAGCAACTACGAGGGTAATTGCGGGATTGAGATGAGCTCCAACGAGAAGGTTCCAACAGTCGAATTTTTGGTTGAGATGCGAAATGGGGTTTGCATTAATTAACCGAAAGCAAGAAGCTTGCGGTTGAAGATCTTACTGGGGAGTGGTTGTGGGTTTTGGGAAGCTGATCTAACGGCTGAGAAGAGTCGTGAGGGTGGTGGGAATTCGGAATCGGAGGGTTCTGGAGCGGTGCTTTTTGTCTGCGAGTGATTGTCTCCAACGGCCAAAAAGGGAGGAGGGAGCTTGTGAGTAGAGGAACGTTGGGGAGCTCAACACTTTATGAACCTCGGTCGGTGGTTGATAATATTAGTACTAGGGTTGGGCAAACGGATCCTGGACCCGCGGGTAGGGGCGGGTACCCGTTGTTTGGGGCGGGTAAGGGCCGGGTCCAAAATTTCTAAACACAAAACGGGGCGGGGCGGTTCGGGTATACCATATTAGCGGGGCGGGGCGGATCTTGAAATAGAAGTGGACGGGCCGCCGGCCCGGCCCGTTTCTAGAATGAATAATAGAAGAAAATCAAGAAATTGTTTCCTCCTGGTCCTCCCGACTCCTCTCATTTCACAGTTCACTCAGACCTCTCTCCTCCTAACTCTCTCCGATCGTCCTAGCTCCATACATCGCTACCCTCTGTCCGTTGCCATCATCATCAGGCTTCGATCTTCTTTTCCTGACTCACTCTCTGGAAATCAGTTTCTCTCCCTCCGACGAACAACGAAGTCGAACAACTCGTGTACCCAGCAAGGTAAATATTTTCTTCTGCTTCCTTTCATTTGCTGCGATTTTCACATGGATCTTGCTTGTTTTTTGGTTGTGATTTGATTGAAATGGTCATCTGGGTCTGTTTTTATTTGATTTTTGGAGCTGGGTTTTTGTTCTTTTGGGATTTAGTTTGGTTTCTCTGTTGAAATGTGTTGGGGGTGAGCTGGATTTGCGATGAGTGAGTTCTCTGGGGTGAAGGTTGATTGACATTACAATTGACAGTAAGTATCACAAATCCTTATTATCCTGGGATTTGAAATTTGGGCCTTTTTTTCATTCTCGTTGAAATGTTAGTTTTCTTTAATTTCATTGTTGGGTTTTTAGGGGGAGTTAGGAAATCGATTATTTAACCTGCTTGTATTTTAATTTTAATTTCTCTGAATTTTGAGAAATCTTCCAGAGAAGTTGTTTGTCTCGGCAACCAAGCAGAGAGTTAGGGTTGCCATCTAATGGCTTTGAACCAATTACGTGTTGTTGGAATGCTAGAATTTTGATCCAATTAAACCTAGAAATGGAGAAATTTCAACTGATTCAGTTATCTGCAATCAGCGAAATATGATGGCATTATTGGATTATCGTTAAAATTATCTAATTTTGTTGACTTTGTGGAAAAGCTCAACAAGTGACGCTTAATTTCTGATTTTTACATAGATACTGCCATTGTCAATTTTGCGTGCAGATTTATGCTGTTTGGTTGTGATACTAAAATGTTATAAACTTGTACAATTTGTCAGTGCTATTAGGTTAGGGCTTAGTAGTTACATGCTTAAATCTATATGAATTTTGGAAATTTGACAATGTTGATCGGACATGGAATGCAGGTAATCTGTTCAAACATGACCGGAGAGCAAGTCTCTAAAGGAAGCGATGACATGATGATCGACGAATATGAACAGAAACAAGGGAGTGTTGTTCCAGGATTTAACTCCCATTATCTCAAAGTTTACTATGGTAAACCCTATTTTAGTTATATTCTATTTAAATGTGATTCGGATTAGCTACGCAATTTATTGAAGAAAGTTGAGGTTCCACCATAAAACAGTTGGCAATATGGGGAGTAGCCCGACCTCTGATAAGCCCTTGCAAGGTTTCTCCTTTTACCGATGTGGGACTCTTTTACCTTCACATCCTCACATTTATGACCGCTGTAGAAACTTATGCTTCTGTACATTTCAAAACATGAGCAGATCACCACTTCAGCTTGTTGAATTAGTTTGATTGATGGTTATAATTTTAAGTCACTTACGACTTTACGAGTTAGAACTTAGAATTAGATATTAGCATCTGATTTATTTAATGTGTAACAAGATATCAGTAATCTTCCCCTCAAAGAAAGTGTTATTTGTGGCAGGAAAACTCTTTCCATATGCGGATATTTTTAAATGGATGTCCTATGGAAATGGTAAGCCATAGATCTTAATCAACCAGGTCCCTGACCTATGCACTGAAAGTTGTCCCTAATGTGAATACGTAATCTGATTGCTTATTTGCAGATGGGAAGCATCCTGCATGCGACCAGTCCTACTTTAGCCGGAGAGAGTTCTCTTTCACACTGGATAATGATGTCTATCTGCGGTTCCAGTCCTTCAACTCTGCATCTGAGCTTGAAAGTTCTGTCAAAGAAAAGTGTCCAGTCAAAATAGATATTGGACCTGTGTATAGTGTTGATGTAAGTTTTCTTGTTTCTAAACCAAATATGATTTTGTGGCTTAAACTTTTGCGGTGTATACACCATAATGCCGCTCTTCCCGCCCAACTATTTCATAATGCCAGTATTGACTCGATTACTAATTGAATCATGCAAATTGAAAAAAAAATGTTATTCAACAATGCGCATGTATAGATCAGAGACAGAATCTCAATCCATGGTTTCTTGTTGATTTTAATTTTACCTATGATTGGGTGTGTGATGACCTTTTATCACCATATCTCTCATTGCAGTTTTAATCTTTCTTATTTGCAGCCTTCAAAGAGGCACGCATATGCTCAGAGTGGCGATAATGTTTTCACCCCAGTGGAGAGGGAGCTGATCTTTGATATAGTAAGCTAATCACACTTAAACTTTGAATTGTCAATAACACAATCAAACTGAAATTTTTACTACGACTGTTGTACGACATGTTTGACTGGGTTTTCTCCTACAGGATATGTCTGACTACGATGATGTGAGGTACTGCTGTTCAGGAGCTGATGTTTGCTTGGAGTGCTGGCCACTTATGACAATTGCTATCAAAGTGATTGATACAGCCCTTAGAGGTAGGAACTTTGTTAATTGTCAATGATGTATGTGTGATTTCTGGTTACAAGTTATAACGTTGCCTTTTCAAATTTCTAAATCTATTTCTGCAGATGACTTTGGTTTCAGTCACATTCTCTGGGTATATAGTGGTAGACGTGGTGTTCATTGCTGGGTTTGTGATGGGAAAGCAAGAAGGTAATTCTCTGAACAGCTGTAATCTATACTTCCATTTCTTAGGTTCTTAAGACATGTCATGAAACTCCAATTATGAGCATTATTTTTCTGCAGGCTGACAAATGAACAGAGGGCAGCTATTGCTGATTATTTTCGTGTCTATAAGGTGGTGCACTGTTTAACGTACATTTGGGTTTTGAGATATCTTATACGGTACATTTCTGTGAAATATTTTGATTCTATATTTTGTTCAGGGCAATGAAAACAGTCAGAAAAAGGTTTCTTTTACTGGTCATGCTCTCCATCCATTCCTTTCGTAAGTTGTCGCATGTATTATTGACTTTCTAATACTGGACAATTTGTTGCGTCCACTAACACCTATTCATTCCTGCAGGAGAGCTTATACTGGAGTTCTTACAGAGTTCTTTAAGAAATTGCTTTTGAGTCAAAAGATATTTTCAACCGAGGAAAGATATGAAAAGATCTTGGATATGATTCCTGATCCTGATCAATGTATACGATGTTTCTTTTCATGCCCTGTGCATTTTTGTGCCCTATCCTGGAATGATGGACAAGTTATAGTACTTTAATTATCCTTGCAGCTATTACTTCTGAGCTTCGTGGAAGGTGGCAAGAGAAGAGACAAACCTCCAGCTCAAAAGAAGACATTAATGTTGTTAGATGGGAGCAGCTAAAAACTATGCTGCAATCTGGAAAACCTAAGGTACAAAGTAGCGGATGTTTGTCAGTTTAAGTCCTAAAGTACATTGTCCTGTGGCAATTCTAGTCTTTGTGATAGGATTTTGATGTTTTACATTGTAGTTTAACCTCTTCTGTACTTAATTTCTCTTGATATCATTTATTATTTAAGGTGCAAGGATTGCGTAGGTGTGTTGAAGAGATTGTGTTCTCTTTTACCTACCCTAGGCTGGACATGGAGGTTTGAACAACATCTTCACTTTCTTTTACTGTCTCCTTTTATCCAATACTAGTGACTAGTTTCTAGTATACATCCTCCTCTGATTCATTTACACTGTGGAAGTGTGGATATCAGGTAGCGAGTATAAACAAATTACTTTAGAATTATATGCTGAAAGATTCTCTCTTGCAATGTATCTGTTTATGGCAGGTTTCAAAACACATGAACCATTTGTTAAAGGCACCATTCTGTGTACACCCAAAAACAGGTTAGTCCCTGGGGCACTCTTTCCTTTCTTGGGTGGTACCAGATATGATTACTATGCATCTGGATATTCTTAATGATGCTCTTTTTTATTATTTTGTTTCAGGTCATGTTTGTGTTCCAATTGATCCAAATCATTGTGAGGACTTTGATCCTACTGCAGTACCAACCCTTTCCACTGTAAGTATCTACTACATGTACAGTTTCGTTCTTCTCTGCATACATATTTTCTTGTGGGTCTGTTATTTTTTGTCCGACTTTCCATAAATTCAACATGTAGCATAGTATATTTGAAATAATAATATAATTTCAGACATCTGCATTTCTAGATGGTTGTACATTTTCAAAACCTCTTTAAACAATTTTCCCCTCACAATATGTTCAATTGATACGCTTCTACCGTTTTATGAATGCATACATTTCTAATTGCATCTTTTGTTTGTATTATCACTCAAGTATCTTTACATCTGTTATCCAGCTACATTCATCCTATGGACATGTTGCAACCTAGTTGCCTAGCACCATGTGCATATAACATTGTTGGTCTAATCATTTGAGCAACACCCTCCTCGCTCTTTCAATCTTTATGAATGATTGATCCAGATATTGAAAAATAGCCTGTTTTACAGTGTTGGGAAACATGAGTTCTAGTTCAATTTTAATCGTATTGAGCAAAGAATTTTTGTCCATCTAACGTTCCTTACTCGTCAAATTCTGATTTCTATTCGACTGCATGATTCATTAGCCAGCTGCCTTCTTTATGCATACTTGTAAGGCTATCTAGTTATTGTGCAACATTCTTCATCTGAAACTAGAAAATTCCAAGCATCCATAAAGATGTCATACATGCCTTTTATTTTGTAGATGCTATATGAGCTGCTTTTCTTTTGCCCTGCAATTCATTGTCTTTTAGTTTTTGGTTTCTTACATGATTACTTTGAATCCAGCTTTTAGAACAACTCAACATTGGAGGTTTGAGAGCAGAAGGTGATAATGGTGCGTCAAGTAACACCGCTTATCTTTCATTTTGTTGAACATCAAATCTGATTGAGCATAGGGGTTTATACCTCGCGGAAACATTGTCCTGTTGGGTGATTGTATACTGTATCATGTATGATTAGTGAGCAGGAAAATGTTCACTTCAGGTGAACCTTCTCTAAATGAGAAAATGTTTTCTATTATGATTGATGGTATCATATATCTTTTCCTTTATCACAGAATGGGACAGAACGGCACTCGGACAATCAATCAGGTTTTTCAGATCATCGTTTCTGCAGCCTCTGCTAAAATCTTGCAAGGTACATAACATTTTATTATAATTCTTCTTTTATTGAAAAACTGACCTATAAGCCAGAATCACCTTCTCATGCTGCAGTTCTCTTTACTTACTTGAGAATTAGTCTGAAACCGTATTTCTGTCAAGCGAAACTGGGGTTAACCCCGTTTCTTTGTTTGAATGAACTACTTCTGTAGAGTACAATACAGTATTCAACTACGTCGTAATGTTATAACACTATTATTTTTTCAGCCTTAGTTCTTATGTATGTACATGTTTTTTTCATTCATGAATGTTGCAGGAGGAGATGGAAAGCTCCTACACTGCGAGACTGCAGCAGTCGAAGAACTCCTTTAATTGGTAAAACTGTTTGCTACTATCAATTCATGTTATGATGTCCAACTTTCATGGATCTAGTTGATGCTGAAATTATATTTTCGTTCGACAATTAAGATTTTAACGAAGAACCGACATCTATTTGTAGATATTTACTAATACTAGCGTTTGAGCACTATTCAGTGTCACTTTCTTGTCTATAAGCCATCAATAACATTTCATTTCAGTCAATGTAGATGTTGGCGTTACCAATACGACATCCGTTCTTTGTTAAACGATAGACGTGGATCGAAACCCAACATTTATGACATGATGATTAACCATTTCAACCACCAGTTGTATACTTTTTAATTAAACAACCAGTATTGGTACTCGAATTGGTAAAATGGATTAAGTCAGTGCTCGGAAGTGGTGTGTTGTCTCGTTCTTGAAAGGACGATGAGTGAAGAGACATTACGTTCACATGGTTTCTCATCTCTCCAAAATGCAGGAATTAGAGATAAGGTTTTGCTTCTTCTTCACCTACGTGGCTCACCTCACCATCCATCATCTCTTATAAGAACTTTGACTATTAGTAAATTCTTGGAATTTTGCTACGATGCTTACAACTTACAAGTGTTGAATAATATCATTATTTAACGGTCTATATGTTCTTTGGATGTCACTACAGCATATATGACCGTCATATGGTGATAATGCTCAATACACTTCAACAATTTGAGTACTCTAATAAATTATACAAGAAACTTTGAAGATCCAAATATTTTGATGGGTCCAAAATTTGAGTATTTTGTTTCAAAAAAAATACTTGGCTTCTTTCAAGGGAAGTCCCCAATGCAATTACTATTTGACATGTATATAGAATTTTGGAGTTATAATTGTATACTTGTCAAACTGTAATTTTGAAACCAAAAGGAGCCAAACAACATTCCTTTTGTTAATGCATGGAGAGTTACACTTGTAGGAAACGAGCGTTAAAGTTCATTAAGGAATTAACTTGGCTCCTCAATGAATCAGGAGTTCCTCTTCAATTAAATATGTAGCCAATTCATGAAACTTCATACTTATGATCGAAACCTTTCATATTATAAATCACTATATAAAGATCATCTATGCTAAAAAAAAAAGTTTAAACATGAGAGTGTTTAGTAATCAAACTATGTACAAACATATGAACATATTCAATAAATTAATTATGAATCGTATATCTATTTGTTACAATTGATTGACCAAACAATCTTAGTTTTAATTGATTTTTTGTAGAGATAATCTTTACATAATGATTTATGATATAATTCCAATCATAAATATGAAGTTGAGTTAGTCACCAAGTGAATTGAGGAAAAATTCCTCCTCAATCTTAAGGAGCCAAGCTTATCTCATTCATTAATCACCTTACCGATAGATAAACAACCATAATTAACAACTCATGATCCCTCAGACATTTTATATGACTGTAAAGTGCCTCGATAAAGAAGACAAGGCACAAATACATGAGAAAATTTTGGGTGTTACGGAGCGTCATTTATACCCCCATTTCTTTATCTCTCATCCCGACTCTCTATGACACTCGGTGACATAACAGAAACTCTCCAAATATAGCCCCAAAAAAGAGAAAGGGATCCGGACCGTTGAAATTTGATCCAATAGTTACAGTTATTATACTTTTTAAAAATGCTCCTTATTTGTAGCCGTTGGATCAAATTTGAACTGTCTGGATCCCCGAACTTAATGAATTTGATGGAAGGAATCCGGAGAGGATCCCTTTCCCCAAAAAAGAACCGAAACATAATAAATAAAAAACATAGTGATAAGCTCGGCTAGTTAGGTATGAGATACCGAACTGAAACCCTTGTCCCAATTCTTAAACCGAAGTTTTTGGAAATCTCAATTTCAAAATCGATCTCAAACCAAATTTTCAGGAATCACGAAATAGTTTCAGGATTGCGGGACAAATCGGAAATCCTGAAATAGTTTTGGGCTCATGTGTCAAAACAATCATAACAACATAGAAACTTTGTTTACAACTAGACAGTGTAGTAGCTAAAGTAGCAAATACACACACGAATTCAAAGAAAGTCTCGGCGAAGCATTCTGCTATTGCAACATTCATCAAAAAATAAAGAAAACTATCCTCCCCCAGAATGTCCAAGGCAAGAAACCAAACTCATTGGCCTAAATTCTCTCATGCCTGTAAAGAAAGAGAGGGGACTGTAAGAAGCATAGAATTCCAATATGGATGGTATCTTGCTAATAAAACAAATCTAATCCACCATGTTTTATGAAGGCTTCGCGGTTAGAAATTCCAAAAATTAATACCATGAACTGATAAAAAATGAATTTATTTAAACTTGCCTTGCTAGCAATGTTGTCGGAAACACAAATTGCAGCTGCTGTCATTAAAGTACAAACTATTGAAGAAGAGTGCTAGATTCAATGAAGATTGCAGAACACAAACCCTAATGCAAAAAGCTTTCTGAAACAATAAACATTTGCACTTTTTCTCTTCGACTACAGGGCTTGATAACATGCAAGTCCCTATTTCACAGAGAGAGTTGGAGGGGGAGGCGAAGGAGCTTGGGTCTGCTAGCTTCGAGGAGGAAATAAACGAATTATACAAGAACCATATGATTAAAAACCCCAAATTGCAAACGAAATCCAAAACCCTAGAATTCAAATGCCCAAATTAAAAATGAATGGAAGCCACAAACAAATTTTACCACATCAAGATTACCAGATGAAGACAAGAATATTACCTTAATGAAGAGAGAAGTAGAAGGAAGCAGAGGTGGTTGTATTGATTATCGAATGCAGAGGATGTTGTCGAACGCAAAAAGAAAATGGAAGGCTGGAGTCTGGATGGAGTGTGAAGGTAAGGGGGAGAAAGTGAAAGAGTGGAGGTCGAGAGAGATTTGTCATTTTGAATGAACGGCTGAGATTAATTCTCAACCAATCCAACAACTTACGATATCTAAAACTACTTATATTTTAACTTCAGTTCGGTTTGGGATTACCGAAAAAATCAGATTGTGAGACCGAATCTTGTACTGAACAGGTTAGGATCGGTACCAAAATTTTCAGGATTTTCGGTTTGAAATCTTTTTGATTCGGTTTCAAGATTTTTTCGATACGGTTCGGGATTTCGATATTTTTTTCCTCCCCTAGTTTAAAACAAGAAAAACATATTAAGATAGCTCAACTTATTATAAACTACAATTTACACTCAAAAACTCCCAAGTACTAGAGCTACACAAAAACAAGAAACACAAATACTACCACTTGTATACCTAAATTTGCAAAAATTTATCTAAAAACCAAGGTTTCCCAGATCAAATCCTCTTTCTAATTAGCAAGAACTTCCCAAATCAACTCAGGATCAAATGAAGGCATTCCTGCAAGTGAACACCCTTCAAATTCCGACTCTTCTCCCATTCCCAACTCCGCCATCCCCATTTGAAACTCTGTTGAAACAGATGGCGGTGAGTTCTTCTCACTCCTCCAAACCCCGTCCTCAGACACGGTCGGCGTCGGGGTTAATGACGACATTTCGTGGCCAAAACCGTCGCCAAAGACCAAAGGCGACGACGAGGACGACGGAGAGGATTCCACCTTCACAACCTTCCCATTCTCACTGAAACTCCCATCACCGCCACCAACTGAAGAACTGCTCTTCTTCACATTCTTCTTGGCTCTGTCCCTCTTCACCTTCTGAATAATCGCTTGGATTTTCGCATCCACGGAGTTTTTCACGGCGTTCAGTCTAGAACCGTCGCCGAAACCCAACTTGCTCGGGTCCGTAAGATTTGGGAAGTTCAACCTCGCGTACTCACCGCGGAGCTTATAGGCCGCCCTGTCGTACGCATAGGCGGCGGCTTCCGCATTGTCGTAGGTGCCGAGCCAGACCCTCACTCTGTTCTGAGGGAGTCTGATCTCGGCTACCCATTTGCCCCAATGTCTCTGCCGTACTCCCCTATAGAGCTTCTTCTTGTATGGAGCCATGTAAGTGGTCGAAGAACAAGCCGAGCTCTGCAATGGGTTCGTCTCAAAAGAGCGCGAAACCGTGGCGTTTGCGTTTGCTCGGCTTTCATCGCAGAACTTCTGGAGAAGGTCTCTTTGGCGGAGGTAAACTGATGAGCCCAGCGGCTCGGATACAGAACTGCCGCTGCTGGTGGTTGTTACGGCGGTGGTGAGTGTTTGTGGGCAGTGAGAAAAAATCGAGTCCAGGGTGTTTGTGGAGCTTGTTAGTATGATACTTGAGAGAGAAGATCGGATGTCAATGGCGTCTGTGAACCCAAAAGCAAGATTGTTTTCTTGCATTGTGTCCATGATTTTCTGGGGGAAAAAAAAAAAAAAAGCAAAATTGAAACAGACTGTTCTGAAATATTATCAGTGTGTAGGAAAACAGGGTACCAAAAAGAAGTCCCTTTTCCCAAAAATTCAGAACAAAAACTGAAAATTTTCAGATGGGAAAACAAAGAAAATGAAGGAGAAGAAGTGAGTGATGATCCGAGAAAAAAATATATGGATCGGAAAATATAAAAGATCAGAGCTCAAGTTAAAACTTAAAAGAAAGGGGGAAGCTTTTTGTTCTCTGAAGTTTTGGAGCAAGATTTGTGGAATTACTATGCTGAAAGGGTGGATGGTGTTGCTATTTATAGCTGCAGTGTATTGGTTGGATTTTTAGCATCTACCTCTGTCCACGATCTAAAATTCTACATGGTTACTCTCAACCCATTTTTTAATATGACTATATTGCCCTTTGGTGTGGAAAATGAGCCAAATTTGTGTTTAGATTTTTTATTTATTTTCTTTCTTTAACTTTTGGTTTAATTCGTTTGTTGAGTTGAAGAATAAGAGCTTTTTTTGTTAATTTCATTACTTTCATTTCCTTTTACAATCACAAAATTACATAACGACTATTGATTTTTAATTGTCTCGTTCTTTAACAACTTAAGCTTCTGAGATTTAGCAATAATCTAATACTGCATCAGTTATCGTGAAGTTGAAAATTTGCAAGTGACTGAGGGTGTTAACTTGATCCTCATTAGTTAAAGCTTATGCAGTCTCAAATTTCTGTTTGAGTATGCTTAGCTTGCAATTCAGTTGCCTCAACCCTTAACATATTAAACTTTTGAGATTCAACAATTGTTAGAAATTATATTAAAAAGTTGTTAACACGAGATATGAGGTTGCCAGCTTATTTGCGAAGAAGTGTGTTAACTTAATTTACATCAGTATAGTATAACCCTCACATGGATGAGTCATTACATTATAACCAATTATCATCGAGTTTTAGTTGCATTGAAATTGCTTAGGAAGGAATGAAAATTGAAAAGACAAATGGAAGGCTCTCAACCACACAAAGTGCAAAATAATTATGGAAATGAAGAAAGGATAAAGGGTGACATTGTAATTGCATAAGGATCTAGAAACCCCAAAAGGTGTAATTCAACTGTATATGCAAGCAAATCCAATGTTGTGTTCATTGTTTGTGAATGTGAATCAATCGTGTAAGATTTTTGGTTTCACTCACTCACTCCGTGTGGTCGGCGGTCCCCTCTGTCTGTCCGATCAAAAGCTACTTTGTCGATTTATTTTACAGATAGAGAGAGTCAGCTCTTCTGTTACAGTCCACACCTTCAATAACTCTTCTCTGCCACGCGTCTGCCCTCTTCTCCCTTCCAGTCCAACTGCACAGATATTTTGCCTTTTCATATAAAGTTCAATCATATCTGTGAATATTCGCAGCTTGATCGTCTAGCCATGATTTGTAAGGCATCTTGCCATCTTACATTAAGCAATTATTAGGGTTTGTAGTTTGATCCCATTTCCTTCAAACTAGCGTGTGCGTCGGAAGGACTTACTTAGTTGTGGAGTCAAGATTTTAATTTAGAAGAAGCTCAAAAGTCTCAAATCTTAACGCTCTCTTAATCTTACAAATTTATTATGTCGTGTAGTGAGCAATTGTCCAATGTTGTGTGGATCTATTATGGAATCGTCATCATCTTCCTCTTCTTTAGACCTAAATCCCAAACCTCTTTGAATTTATTTCTCCCTCCCTCATTCGCAGAACTCACAAGCAACGGATTGCTTAAAATTCATAAGAGTCACCAACCTTAAATCAAACACGATGAAATAAATTAAAAAATGTCGGACTCGGATTGGGACCATGTGCCTCCGAAAAAACCTTGAAATCATAAGTATAATACTAAACTTTTCTGCATGAGAAAAAAAATGTCAAATTGGACCTTATGAGACCATCGTGATCCCTTGATGGCTTCGCCGCTAGACTTACCTACATTTTGAAATACCTACTTAAATATTACAGACCGTTAATACCGCGTTTCTATATGTGAGGAAGTTTGATCCATTTTCTAAGCTTTCTAACATTAAGTATTACAGTTTGGAGTTTTATCCATTCGATCATCACTTCAAACAAATAGTTGTACATGTATGTGGATATACCACGTGATACCACTTGACGTTTTGGATTAATAGTACGATTATGTCAAGTAGGGAAGTTTGATCTGATTTCTAAGCTTCTAACGTTAGCAATAATTAGGGTTTGGAATTTGATCCATTCATGTCGAACAAGTTGTGCAAGTGGGGAAGTCTCTCGTGCAAGTGTTCCAAATTCCTTGGCTTCTAGGGAATATATTTATATATTAGTTTTACGAATAATCACGTCAAAATTATTATCAATTGTTAACGTATGTGAAATTTATAGTAAAGTTTGCATGTGTCAAATATTTATATTATTAGCATACACGTGAGCCAATGTCCTTAGAATTTTCCGTTGAAAATATCCAAATATTTACGTCCTCGTTATCTATTTTTGATTGGATATTGAATAATAATGGGTTACTATAATAAGCGGTAAGGTCTATTTCATTACATTTTCTCACAAGATTAGTTTAATCCACCCTGATGTGGATTCCTAACTACATATTCTCTGTGTACATGAAGTGAAGGTTTTGTGCTCTGTGAAAAATTATACTTATCCTAATTTGGGAAAGGTATGTTTGCAAAGAGCTTCTCAATAGTACCCAAAGAATTCCACTGGGATAGGAAGGATTTTAGTGTGCCTGGAATATAGACATGTCACATCCCGGCCCGGTCGAGACCACTTCCTGGGCTCGACTCCACCGTAACACGATATTGTCCACTTTGGGCTTACCATTCCCTCACGGTTTTGTTTTTGGGAACTCACGAGCAACTTCCCAGTGGGTCACCCATCATAGGATTGCTCTAGCCCCCTTCTTAATTAACTTCGGAGTTCCTACGGAACCCGAAGCCAGTGAGCTCCCAAAAGGCCTCGTGCTAGGTAGGGATGAGAATATACATTTAAAGATCACTCCCCTGGGCGATGTGGGATGTCACAAGACACAAATGTCATATGTTATTGTACAAATGGAGCAACACTTGAAATAAATTTTTTATCTCCACTTATACAATAACATATAATTTACAATCCCGTATTTCGGACACATAGAAAAATTTCTCTCTGAAATAGAATGTAAGATTGCTACAGAATTTTCTTGTGAATGTCACATCAATATTCAATGGTATTATATATATTATGATCATTAGGGCATGAAATAAATACGAAAATAAAGTACCATGAGATTGAGAACTTGAATAATGGTTGAACCTTTTTATTTTAATTGCCAACCATTGATACTGTCAGTGTCTTAATCAACAAAATTATGTTCAAATTCTATTGGTTCTTAAAAGCTGTAATATCAATTGAGATTTTCTTAAAACACGGTAAATGATTGAAGAACTTCAGTGGTAATTTCTGAATTGACAGATAAAATAAGGGGTTAAAAAATAAAGGTTTTTTAAGTCAAAATAGTCTCTGAAATTGGCGTAACTCTTCATTTTGGTCTCTGAGATTTAAAATAGATAGAACTGGTTCCTGAGTTTATCATTTCAATCATTTTGGTCATCCTGTGAAAAATCTCTATTAAATTAAGAAAAATGACAAAAATACCTCTAATTTTGTCAAATCATTTCAGGCCCATTGTTTATCAAATTAAGGGTTTTTTTTTTTGTTATTTTTTTTTTTTTATCAGAGATTTTTCATGGAATGATCAAAATGATTGATTGTGAATAAACTTAGGGATTACTTCTATTGATATCAAATTTTATAGATCAAAGTGAAGAGTTATGTCAATTTCAAATATCATTTTGGCTAAAAAGTCAAAAGTAAATGTTGGAAGGTAGCTATAAATTGTAGAGGGAAACTTGTGGTGCAATTGAAAGTCTACAGAATCCACTCAGAGATTGGGTGGTCCTGTAAGTAAACCTAACATTTCCATATACCTTTTCAATTACTTGTATTCTCAATCAACCCTAATGGGAATCTATATGTGACATTGCAAATTGAATTGATGTTGCATATGAATTATACGTTGTTTCACAAATTTGTACAAACTTTTTTATTTGAGTAGCCCAAAGGGGTTAGGAACTGCAACATGGAAGAAGATAACTCATTTGCTTCTCTCCATGTCATGCCCATAGCAAATAAAAGGGAAAGAAAAGTAGGTCATGTGTCTTTTAATTGACTTAATGACCACAAGTACATAATACAATGGGTTTCCTTAGCAATGAATTTCACTTTCAAAATACGTGTGGTTATAATTTTTCGTCGTATAAGGTTCACACCAAGTTTCAAATGTATAAACGGCTAATAATCATTTAATAGCGCAATTTTTTCATTAAAACTGAGACAGAAAATAGACAAGTGCTAACATAATCGAAATCATTTGGTTTAGTGACAACTAGTTTTTACTTCTCAAAAAACATACGAAATTTTGATTTTATAAACCGACAATTGTAAATTAAAATGACAAGAATTGTAAGATAAAAAAGAGAAATAATGCATGCTAGCTAGTGATCGAGAAAGGCATCACGTGTAAGCATGCAATATCACTAACACAAACAAAGCCAAAACTAAAATATGAGTCATCTTCTTCACCAATAATTAACCACTGATTGAATGATTTCTTAGACCAACTTTCCAAACTTCCGAAGGACATCTTTGGAATAATAAGAAAAGGTTGGCATATAATCACCTCATTACTGGACCAACCATAGTATGGTGGCATTGAAGACGTAAAGGTGTTCTTGAAAAGGTGATGGGGGGTTGTCCTTTTGAAGGACAAAGCTCGTGAAACGACAACACCTCCCATCTTCTTCATCGGCCCCCAAGAAAATAAAAAGTTTGTGCAATTTGCATGTGAACGAAAACCTAACCGATCCTCACAAGTCAAATCCCAAATAGTGCTACTTGTAATTCTACTACGACTCCACCTTCACCCCAAAAAAGTTTACCTAGTTTTTTGGGTTATTAACCAAAAGAAGTTGTGGTTCATGTGAGGAAAACCTAACATGCATAACTCGTTGTATTGTAGGGGTTGAATTTTGTGATCACAATTAATTGAGTTTTCATTTTTCATTCTTCCTTTCCATTTTAATGTTATTAACTCATTAAGGTGTTCTCCATTCTTAGATCCAGAAAATGCATTATCACAATAAGGTACGATCACAACAAGGTACGATCACACAGTCACACCATCTCTAATTGTTTGGCCGTATTTAGCTACTAGTTTTAAATATATCATACTAA